GATTAGTGTACATTCAAAGTGACAAAAAGTGGTTCTAAGTATCATCACTAAGTTAGTATCATCATCTAAGTAACATCACTATTAGCAAGAGGTAAATGGAGAAATAAATTTCAAAGTACAGAGCAGCATTTAATAAAATATTTTGATGCTCCACAGATTATGGTTCCATTTCATAGAAAGAAAGAGCTTCCTGTTTGAATCCCGTGTTTAGAGGGGTGTTTTTGGCCACTTTTACGATGTGTTGACCTCAAATCCCAGTTGCCAGGTTTTAAGAAACACACCACAGCTTCAGAGAAACAAAAAGGTCGGGGGAAAGAAAAAAGTGGTGGAGAGCAGGAATAGAAAACTTGGTTCCCAATGGGAGATAAGACCATGCCCCTGTCCCCCACGTCACCTGGGCGCACAAGGTTTGAAACCGCCGCAGCAGACCCTCGTCTTCCTCCAGCCCGCCGAAGACCAGCTCCTCCAGGCCATGCTCCGAGGCCGGCTTTTCCGCCAGGAGAGCCAAGTGGTGAGCTCGGCGGGCGTCCTCTTCAGAAGCAACCGTCGCTTCAAGCCGATCCTCTCCCACCCGAGGTCTTTTTCGAGTCGGCATCCTGCCGGAACGAACACCAACTTTCGCCTCCATGCTTTCCCTTCTTTCGGGAAACGCGAACCGGACGTGAAAGGTCCACTTCCCTTTTGCAGGAACCGGAAGCACTTTTTTGGGGATGAGTTGCCCTAGTACAAGAATTCCCCAAACTTGGCAACTTTAAGACTTGTAGACTTCGACTCCCAGAATTGGGAGTCGAAGTCCACAAGTCTTAAAGTTGCCAAGTTTGGAGACCTCTGCCCTAGTATAAATGGACTTATGCAAAGACCGCCTGTCGACGGGACGCCGTTTCCGGATTTCTTAGCGTTGGATAACTCAGACATTCTGCCTCTTCCTTCCCATTCAGTCAAAATTAGTCTCGGAAGTGTATGGTTGAGCACATCTCTTTACGCTCCCGAATGAATTTCTCTTGAGACGCCCTCTCACGTGACACCCATTTTTAGAGTCCCCCATTTTTTGGTTCCTCCCTCAAAAGATTCAAAGGGCTGTACCATTGCTTCTGAGGTTATGGGGGGGAGGGCAGAAAACAAATCTTTTTTTTTTACTGACAAGCGGATAACCGACGCCTCTTTCTTCTGAGGTTGCGAAAAACCCCTCAGACCGCCCATTTTCGAGCCGGCCAACCGCCGCTCTTGAACGCCCCCCACCCTGCGGTTTTAACCGCCTCCGAACTCCCCCCCCCCGCTTGCTTTCCTCACCCACTTCCGCATCGCAGAGGAAGCCGCCGTTGCCGTCCTGCTAAGGGAAGGACGACCCAAAAACAAGCGGGGCAGCCAATGAGGGCGCGCCGTGGAGGGGGCCGCTCTGCGCAGGCGCGCAGCCCTGGTTTATGCTAATGTTGTTGATATTCTGGAGCTGCCGAGCAGACTGCTTTTTCTCTCGCTGCCCGGGTTCCCCCTGGCAGGAGTGGGACGGCTGAGCGGTCTCCTTCCTCCACCCTGGCCCTGCCCCTCGGGAAGGGGAGGGGGCTGAGCCGAGGGGGCGGGCGGGGGGTGGAGAGCGGGGACGGCCGGAGGAGGCATCCCCTGCCCATGAGGGCCTGATGGAAAACACAAAGGATCTGGTGAGTAGTCCGCTCCCCGCAAAGCCCCCGGCCGAGGTGGGCAGCGCGGCGGAGGAGGTCCGGCCGTTTGGAGGAGAGGGCCCCTCGGGCAATTACCCCGTCCCGGGCCCGGGACTGAGAGGGCAACAGCGGCTCTTTCCACCAAACGCCCCCACAACCCCCGGGACCCAAGAGTGGGGAAGGAACCCGGTCAACCCTCCCTACAGGCAGCTGGAGGGGGGGCTCTTCCCTGCTCCCCCCAGCTTGTGCAAAGTCTTTTAAGCCCCGCTCAAGGGTTCCTTTCTTTGGTTTCCCTTCTCCCGCGCGGGTTCGGCTCCTATAAGCCTTGAGGCGGTGCAGCCTTTCCAAGCCTGGGTGTTCCGGGTTTGCACAATGTTGAACTGCCCGGAGAAGCAGCCTTGGGGGCGGGCAGGGGACCTATTCCTCTCCGAAGGCAGGGAAGGAAAAAAACAAACCCTAACCCTGTGGTTGAAGTTGTTTACGCCGTGCAAATGCCGCCAGGAGGTTGATCACTTGGAGGGGTTGGGTTTTTTTCCTCTTTCCCCTCTCATGTGCTGAACGGAGCAGCAGTAGTTCCTTTCTTTTGGGGATGTAGCTACATAGGAGCAGCAACTTTAGGGTCAGAAAAAGTGGTTCCAGAGAGGAGGAAGTAAATAGCCTTTGGAGGGAAATGTACACAGTGCTAGAGAAATAATAGCTGGTTGCATTTTTCCCTGTGCTTGGTTGGTGGTGTGTGTGGTATGGGAAAACCGAAAGTGATACCAAGAGAATACAAAATAATTTGCATGTCACAATTTGTGGATAGTAATACTCACCATAATATGGCTCTTAGGGAAAAGGAAAAACCTAATAATTTAGGTGGACGAATTCAGTTTTTTTAACTTCCAAACTAAGTGAATGAGGAAGGCCTAGGTTCATCTACAACTAGATTAAAATGACCCAAACTTTGATACATTGCTTTTTAAATATAAATATGGGACATTAGAAGGAAATGGACAAATAAGCATAAGTTGTATGTTGGCCATATGCTACTTTTCATTGTGTCTTAAATTTGGAGCTTTTTGAGAGCAAAATGGGTTTTCCTGAATTTTATTTGCTAGTTTCAATTCAATGCTGAATTTAGTGTATGGCTGTATATAAAGTACTTTGACATATTCATCAGACAAGATATAATATATCAAAACAGATTTCTCTAAGATTCGTAGAAAATTGTAGAAGCTACATAAAAGTATAATTTCTTTTACCTGGATCAAATGTAGCCTTGGTTTTGTTAACATTAAATTACATTTGTTTCTCGCTTTTTGTTCAGCTAGTTTGCTTTTTCACTAAGTCCTCACTATAAGCTTATTTACCACTTGAATGTGTAAACTGTATCTTTTCTTAATCAAAATGGTCTAAGAGTTTATAAACTTATCTGTTTCTCTTTCAAAGATTCAACACAGATTATTAACATTATCCCCTTCTGTGTTGTTGTCATGGTATTTCAAAATATTTCACAAAGAGGAATTTTGTCTTGGAAATTGTCTTCCTCAGTAAGAAATTAATGGGAAATTAACTTTTCTGAAAGACAATTTATCAACATTTTCCAATTATAAATACCCCTGAGAATACTTAACTGATTAATATAAATTGTTATGAACAAAATATACATTTACAGTAACTCCATAGATGTTTGCAATGGATTTAGATTTTTCAGAAGTTGTAAAAAAGTTTCATTGATTATAGGACATAGTAAAAGTCTTTGATAGTGGTTATCTAAATACCATGCTAACTCAATGTCTTTTAGGCATAGTTTGTTTATCAAGGTCATTTTAAGCCAAAACAAAGTATGTTTCTTATTTTAGAGGGTGAATTTAGTTAGAATGTGCTACATACCAATTAGGATGTGTCTTTATTCTGATCTAAAGCATAGCTTATATTTGATGAGAAAGTTGTAAGTCTGTAAAAGAGCATAGTTCAAACAATGTTACACTAATACCCCGGCATGCAAATGAAGACCAGTGAGAATTAAACTACTGCATTGGTTTTAATAAAGAGTTATGATAAAGGACAAACTATGATTATTTTTCTGTTTAAGAAATAGGCATTATGTGGTGAATGACGAATTCAATATTTTGGTAGGGACAGATCTTGCACCTGTAGGATGGAAATTCCTACTCACAGCTGTCTACTTAAAACTGCCCAAATCTAGACTCTTAGCCTAGGGTTGGTCCCGGAAAATTTCTTTATAACACCAAGGGAAATTTAAAAACAAAGCACAAAAACTAGTCCTGCAATATGAAATAAATTCTATCCCCCATCTTTTCATAATTGATAAGGCTATGAATGAAGCAGCAAATCTTTTATTTCATCTCCTTTCCCACAACTCAGTTTCAAATTCAAGTTTTAAGATTTTTCTACTTTATTTCTATGGAGAAAATAGAATAATGTATATATGTTATTAAAAATATTTATTAAATTTTATTTTATTGAAATTAGTAAGAGGATAGTATTCTCTGTAAAACTGATTTTTATCTTTTATTCAGAAAATTTATAAGATACTATTCTGCAAATGTCTATCATAAAATAAAGTAATTCCAGGATTAGGATCTTTGAAATCAGTAGTAAACACATAATAGTTACTCTTCATAGTAACAGATTATTATATCAGTGTTCAAATAATGCCTTGTTGATGTTAAGTGATCAATTATTTAGTTCAAGACTAATTATTTAGTTCTTGTTTTAGGTCGTCCCCCCCCAAATGCATTCCTTTTATGATTATTTAAAAATAGAACAATTTACCCAATTTTTTCATATTTATAAATGTTCAAGTGATTTGAAAGAGCGTTATTCAAGATAAGGCAAGAGGGAACATGAAATTGTATTAAGTTTCCCATTAGCAATATTTTTTTCCAATTTTATTCAGTACAGTATCAAATGGTCACTTTCAAAAGGTACCACTGAATGACTGCAGGGGGGAGCAGATGTATGGAATATTACAAGAACCTAGCATGTCCCAAAGCTGTTCAGTATTTATTTACATGTAACAAATGGAGTGATTATGTAGAATGTATTTTATAGTGTAATCAATATTTGGATGAAGGATTTCTATTGCAGCTATTCTATTTCTATTGCAGCTGTTTCAGGAGCAAAATGTAACTCATGAAATCTCATATAATTTTGGGCTCCAGGAGGGTTAGTTTATTCAAATTGAATTTAGACAGAGGTGTGGAAAAGAAATTTTCTTAGTTTTGTGAAAAGCTGATCTTCCTGGTCCAGTTTTCCTATCTGTAAAACAATTTCATTCAGTGCTTCACTGGAATTTGCTAGCTATTATTTTCACTATGCCTCTGTTAATCTTTCAAAGTTCCCATCCAATTAGCTCAAATGTGAATATGATATAGAAAAGTACAAAAGCAATTTCATTTTATGTGTGGATACCATTCCTTCAGTGGTGGATAGTACTGGATGCAACTCTAAATGTCCTTTTATTTCTATACTTAAGATATCATTTTGCACTGCTTTGATATATGAAATATCTGGAATGAATTTTCCTAATAAAGGTCTTTCTGAATAATTCTAGTGATGCATAGAAGCCACATTCATGCAGGTTTTTAAGTTTTATGATACTTGCATGTTTCATTCTGTCAGTTGCCATGACGATGTTTCTATGGCAAATTGTCAACTTTATGAGAGTAGTTTAAACTCTCTGAAAGAGAAACATTTCAGAAGCTGGTCATTTTGTGATCAACAGAATAAGAACCGTAGAGATTGTGAAAAATATATCCCATAACTTTCTGGGAATTGGTTTTTCTCGATTTCTAGTGGCAATAGAGAATTTTGTTTTAAAAACCATCTGGAAAGTGGTGGAAAAGAAGGCGTTTTAGGCACATTTAGTGAGGAGGTAACTTGTGGAGTTTTGTCATATGATTTCAAGTGTGACTGATTTTCTGACCTGGAGGAAAGGAATTAATTGAAATCTTTTAAAGGAAGAGGCAGATGACTAGCACAAGCAGCCCTCCTCCCTCAAGAAGCCTTTTCAGCTCCCTAAATATGTAACCAGGA